ATAATATATATATATATATATATATATATATATATATATATATATACCGGACGCGTGCAATAATTAGAAGTATTTTTCTTAGTGTATTTTATAAAATAAATATTTTTCACTGGCAAAATTACACGGTAATCTCATATGAATTAGAAATATTGGTATATAAACATATACATAGTGTTTGTTCAAAGTGTAAAAATATTGTTTAACTACAGTAAATAATGCAGCAACATATTTGTGAGTATTTGAACATTAAGTACTGTACAATGCCTTTTTCTGAAAAACGTAAATTATTTTTTAAAATAAAAATTGTTATATTATTATAATAGATAGCCACCTCTATAGGTAACATTGCCTTAAACATGTTCAGCATATTAAAATAAATATCTTCTATGCTACATGATGTAACATAATACATGTATTAACATGAATGTAACATGGAACTATTATATCGTGATGCATAATTTACATCACTGAATTGTTTATTTGTTTGTTCTGTGAGCGAGTTACGTTCCTACCTAATGACGTATAATCAATTAATAGTATACATAGTGTTTTCTTGAAATTAATTTCACGGAAGTCCAACATTAATGTATTTTTCGATCTTTTTCTCTTTTGTATCTTTTTGTACATGATTTATTATATCTATTGGAACTCATCATCACTGCTCAACAGCATTGTCTTCTCATTATAATTTTGAGAAATTGTAGCAACGCGTTGATGAGAAGTATGCCGTCTTTGAGGTGGTGGTATTGTCATATTCTGTGGATCATCTGGATCGAAGCTGGATATCCGCATACCACGTTGTCCTTTAGGAGCTCCTGATTGTTACATTACATCACGTATTATCGCTGACAAAGCCGTTACTAATAAATATATAATCAGCCAGCGAACAGCGAAAAATCATGCCAATATTTTTTTCTTTTTCATTCAAAACATTTAGAATATCAATTACAGGCTATGTATAATTTTACGTATGAACTGATAAAATTTTTTTACACATAGCACAATTTACAGCATTTTTTTATTTTTTCAATACATCACTACAAATATTATATATCCATTAAATAATTCATGCATGTTATAACAATAAAGAATTCAATTTACTAATTTTAAGAAAATTATTAAACACATGTATATGAAAAAAATATATGAAAAATATAGCTATATTAAACATGCTAAATGAAATATAAACCATGCCTTTTTTTTAAATATAAAAGCATTACATAATAGCAATATATATTTTAATAATTATTATTTTGTTTATAAAATAATATATAATTACAATACTGCCACAGAATAGTAATCAATTATTATTTGTCTTTTGCATTTATTAAAAAGTTAATTTTTTTATGAATTACACTGTACTCTAAGTGCTCCTATGTTAAGTGTTTATTTTCTATTGTACAGTAGATTTTATTAATTGCAAAATTAATAAATCATATGATTATGTATATGTATATGTTTATGTATATTGATTTTAATATAAATCTTAAATCATAATTTGAGCAGAGAATACTATGTCCACTCTAAAATTTGATTTAAACTTAAAATATTATGTAAATTATAATGTAAATTTTAATGAATTATATTAAAAATTTTTCAATCTCCATTAAAAATATATGAATGCTTCATGTCCAATTTCTTGAAATTAAAAAACGATGCCTTGTGTTTTCATAGTTTTTCATACGGCAAGTTGGTATTAACGTCTGAAAAATAGTAAAAAGAAAGTGCCTTCAAAGAATTTTAATTGGCACATATTAATCAAATTCATAGTAAAAAATACTTTTTTATATTTCCAAGAAATATTTTATTAATTTTTATTGCAAAAGATAAATATAAATGAATTTATACTATTTTATTGTTCTAATGATTGGCAGTAAAGTATATTGAATGATTATTATATTAAAATGATAAATATTTATCATTTAAAAAACTAAAATTCACAGTTAAAACAACATAATAAATATTATTTGTTTAATTTAAATTTGAATAAAATATTTTAATAATTATAACATATTTTCTATATTTTACGCGTATAATATATTAATATATTAAAAAATATAAAATTTAAATGATATAAATAAATAATGTGTGAAATGTATGATTTTGATTCATCATTCATTATATCATGCTATATGAAAATATACAATCAACAATTTAAAATATAATATTTATATGTACATATATTTAAATAAAAAAAATATTTTAATAAAAATAAATAATGTATACATACCAGAACTATACTGAGTATACTGTTGATATTGTGGATGAAAGTTATGGATGGCATCAGTCATTATATCTTTTGGATTCATAGTTTCCTATTTATAAATATTAAAATATATTAATTTCATTATTTTATTTATTATATTATTTAGAAATTGTTATAATATACCTTTAAACTACTGCTAATACTTTGCATGGTTACACTTCTTCCTCTTGAATCCGTAACACAACCAGCTGAATATACTTGGTAAGGAAATGCATAACGTAAAGCTATAGCAGCAAATAACATTTCAATACAAATCAAAAAGTTTTGATAACCAGCAGAAACCGTTCCTGCACTAGTTGATTGATCTAAACTTATAGGAGAAATTACATTTGCTTTTTCAAGAATTGCCAATAATACTCCTGAAATAAAATAAGATTAATATTTTTGATACATAATATTTTAAATAATCTCATATTACCTTGCCAAAATGAAAGAAAGATAACACTCTTAACAGTACAAAATTTTAAGACAGGTTCAAATGGTGTTAACAGGTCTCTTGTAGCAAAATAGAAGAGAAAAAGTCCATAAAGTGCAAGAGATACACTGATGTTATAAATTATAGTTATATAAATATAGCCTCCATCTGGAGACCAATCTCCATCTCTATAATGACCAAATGCCTGAAGAAATATAATGACAAATGCCATTACTGGTTTTACCAAGCAAAATTGTAAAGTAGCTTGCTTGCAAAATCTAAGAAAACCAATTGTATATGTTTTCCCAACTAGACAGCATGTTCCATATAAACAATTAGAACGAATAGGTTTGCCACGTATTTCAGACATAATATTTCCTTCACCACCCAGGTACTCGTAGCATAATGACAAAAAGTTATATATAACAAATGCTTCATAACAGTCTCGAACAGTAAAAAAATAAACATAATAACTTTCGCTGTTGAAAAATAGTAGAGACACCCAAGAATAAGTAGCATAAATTGGTACTATAAACAGAATTCTAACTATCCATCTTTGTTCTGTTGGATTAGTATACCACCTTAAGTGTTGATAAATCTAAAAAAAAAATGAAATCAAAAATTAAGAAATCAAAAATTGATTTTTCAATTAATAAAATTATATCAAAATATAATACAAAGTACCTGTTGACAAGTTAAAAATAATGCAACCCAAACAAATGCACCAGCAATACCTTGAGCTGCTCGTGTTTGTAAAAAAATTGGAGCTGTTTTCTCAGAAATTGCAGTGACAGTTGTGGACGTCATATTAGCAATCAAAGTTGTAGATTCCGTGCTACTCATATTTCAATCTAAGAAAAGTTAATGTTATAAACAATAATAATAACTTGGCATTATTGAAGAAAGATGATTGTAGCTACCAAAAATATTCGTTTTAATCACAGTCACAAATAAAAAAAATAATAAACATCTTTCTGTAACATAAAATAAATATCGAAATTATAGTTCACGCGTTAAAAATCAATATGCATAACAATAACAAAGGTATTCCATTCGTGTATAAAATTTCATCTCGTAGACGCACCCGTGCCCCATTCGTAAATTTTTTCAAAGGATTGTAGCATACGTGCGATCTCTTCAAGTTATTTCACCGTATGTGTTCTCCTTTTCTTTTGTATCGTGCGTACGTGTTGACCTGTATGAAATCAAGCTTCACAGGTTCCCCTCTTTCAATTAACTATCTACTGACGCAGTGGTTACTGATGATCGTGACCTTCCAAAAAGCAACGTTAATAATCTATCGAATTTTTTTTCCTTCACTATTATATATTTGCCCAGTTTAGATCACCGAGTTTCACTTTTATCCGACATTTTTTCACATCTCTTTTCGTTTGCTCTTAGACGTCAAATGTATTCGTCTAACTAGCTTTACAAAATATGCCAGTTGATAATAAAAATATAACTGGTCTTGCCACCACACCATATATTCTTCTTTTTTCCACTCGTAAATCTTTCCTTTAGTTCTCTTTGTTTCACTCTTATAGACGATCTCTTTACCCTTCTCCTTCATGCTAAACCCCCTCCATGATTTTCTTTAATTACTATTGCATACGCATGCGCTTATTCATAGTTATATGTCATTTTTGATGATAAATCGTTGAATAAGGTATATCGCGTTACTTTATAAAAACTTATTTTGATTAATAATGTATCTCAATTTTAAAAAATTCTTTATTTATTAGTGAATTTGTATCCTTTCATTTATGAAACATTAAACAAAAATATAGATTTTTTAGTTTTATCTGCATCATCAATTTCAAAAAATGATAATTGAAAAATATATTATTTATTTATAAATAATTATTAATAATAATAATAACTTTAATAATGAATATATAAAAATTTTATATGTAATATAAATCATTATTTGAATAATATTTTAATATAGTTTTGACAATTTCGCAAAAATGGCACTCGTTTATATTGAAGACAACGATCCTTGGTAAGAATAACTAATTTTGACTTTTTCTGTCTGTCTTTGAAATTTGAAGTTCTGTTTAAGAATTTATGAAATCACATAGGTTAACGGAATATGATGCCTGTGAGAAACTTTTCAGAGAAATTATGGAACAATTTACAGCGCGCAATAAACATTCAAAAACTTTGCAAACATATGCAAGTATATCTGCGAATATACGAATACGTATAAAACAATACAATCGTGAAGTTCAACAACTTAAAGATAAAGTAGATGATGCATTAAAGTCTAAGGCTATGTATCCTTTTTCTTGATTATTTAATTAAAATGTTAAAAATTTATTGTTTTAATATTTTTTCTTAAAATACAAAGATATGCAGAACTGTTGAAGAAGCAGAACGAAGAATACGTCAAATAGAAATATTGAAGAGTAGGGATGTACATTTGCAAGAATTATGTGATGCACGTACAAATAATTTTGCTTCTTCTCGTGCAAATTTACTTACATCAGGGACATCAGCGTTTGCAGATGGAGGTACAACTTCTTGGGCAGCCGATGATGATGATAATGGTGATGATGATAAACTTATAGATACACAAATATCCATTACTGATCTTATGTCACAACGAGATAGAGCTTTAGAAGGTAGAAATTTTAACATGTTTTCTGATTGCTGAATATTATTTCTTTTTTTATTTTATTTATTTCTTTATTTATTTTCTTATAGAGCAAAATAAAGGTTTAGAAGAGTTATGTAAAGTTATTGCAAGACAAAAAGAAATTGGTCAGACTATTAGTAATGAAGTAAATCATCAAAATGGTAAATTAAAATTAATATTATTTATTATTAAAAATTTAATAATATAAATTTTTTTGAGATTTCTTAATTTTTTTTATTTATAGAAATAATTGATCATCTAGCTGATCATATGGATAGAACTGATGAATCATTAATTAACAGGACACATCATGTAAGAACTATTAGTTTTAAAGATCGTACATGTGGCTATTGGATAGTAATAATTTTTCTTTTTATTTGTATTATCACAGTTGTTTTACTTCCATAATTTTTAATTATGATATTTGATTATTATATAAGAACAATAGGTATCTTCTTTAATGTAATTTTAATATTCTCTGTAAATATGTATAAAAATTATATTCTTACAAATTATTGCATTTTATGTTTTTAACTATTTACTAATTTCAATTCAGTATTCATTATAAAAATTATACTATATTTATAAACAAAAAATACAATATAAATTAAAATAAATATTTATTTATATATCTAAACGTGATGTTTTTATCCCTAAAATTATACAACATTGTAATGAAATAAGTTTTTTAAATAAGAAACAAAATCTTTTCATTATTTATCTTTGTACAAATTACATTTCATTGTTCATTGTTTTATTTTTTTGAGATATCTCGGTTTCTAACATATTACTCTTTATATCTAAATTAAGAGTTTTCAAAAGTGCTTTTGGATTAGGATCTCTTCCACTGAATTTTCTGAAATTTTCACGTGCAGAATAAGTGCCACCTACAACTAAAAATGATTCGCGATATCTATTACCGAGTGTTTTTAACGATTCTTTATTCTCATAAGAGACATTTTGAAAAGTACTATATAAATCAGCAGCAATCATTTTTGACCAAATATGGCTGAAAATATAAATTTTTTTCTTATATTCTATTAAAAAGATATGTATGTATATATGTATGTATATATTTATCATTTATAAAATATTACCTGTAATAAGCAGCTGCCCAATTTCCACTAAATATAGATTCAAAAGAACATATATGACTGTCCTTTTTATTAGGAGGAAGTACAAAATACTTTTTCCATAAACGATTCATTATATTATTCCAAAATTCTTTGCTAAAAATTAATTAAAAATTAATTAAATATAACATATAAATATATATATTATTATATTCAATCTTACCTAGAATACAATTCTAAATCAAATTGTGATAAATATAATTCTTTGCATAAATTATAACCTGATAAATGCGTTTTTGCATTTTTCAACTTGTCAATCATATTTAATGGTAATGATTCTCCTGTAATTTGATGACATGAAATTCTTTGCAAAAATAATGGCTCATATAACCTAAAATAAAACAAAAGAATAAAAAATTTTATGTATATATGTACGTACATATGTAAACATGAATTATAAAAATACAGAAATTTGAATAAATATACCAATTTTCAAGAAAATAATCAGAAATAAATAATGCATCCCATTCTGTGAACGAAAGTCCAGCAATATCTGTATATTCCACTTTTGTTAACAAATAATGTAATGCATGTCCGAACTAAATAAAAAAAGTTAATATTAAGAAAAATTTATAATATTAAATATTACTTTAATATACATTTACCTGTCGAAATAGCGTTTGGAGGTCTTTGAATGAAAGCAAAGAAGGTTTCTCATTGATAGGTGGTTGAAAATTAAATATTAATGCAACTAATGGTTTTATATTACATATTTTACTTTTATTTTGTATCGAAACCGTATATCCTGAATTCTGTGATGCTCGAATTTTTTCATCTCTTCTTGCATATGGATCTAAGTAAAAACTGCCTAATGGATCAGTGGTTGATTCCCTTATATCAAAGATATCAAAAAATCGAACATCTTTATGCCAAAGATCTGTTTTTTTGGCTTCAATAATTTTTACATCAAATAAAATTTCAATCAGTTCAAATAAACCATTTAATACTTTTGGTAAAAGAAAATAATTATTTAAATCCTCTTCCTTATACCTATAAATGATGTTACAATTATACATATTCATATTTTCTTATTATTAAATATTTTTAAACATTGTCTTGTACTTACTCATATACAGTTCGTAATTGTTGTCTACCCCAATATGATACATCCCAATGTTGAAGTGTACCTTCAAGACCTTTTTTACTTGCAAATGCTTGAAGTTCTTTAATTTCATATTCTTGAGCAGGACGAGCTTTTAGAGAAAAAGTACAATATTATAGTTATTAATTTATTTAAATTCAATTAAAAATTTTACCTGTAGCTAATAAAGTATTCAATACATGATAAACATTTTCCACACTAGCTGCCATTTTAGTTTCCATACTTAAGTCAGCAAATGATTTGTATCCTAGCAAATTAGCCTCTTGATTTCTCTTCTGTCTAATATCTTCCAAAGTTGTGCTTGTTTGTACTGATTTATCATGTAATACAGATGCTTTAATAACATTTGTTTCCCACACTTTACATCTTAAAGCACGATCAGGACAATGTTCTAATAGAAAAATAAGAAAGATTAATATAATTTTAATTGACCAATATTTAATTTTATAAATAAATATATACCTATAAATGGCTCTACAACATCTGGAGTTAAAGTTATTATCCATGGCCCAACGAGAAATTGTGTAGAATCTGGTGCAATAGATTTCAAAAATTCTTCAGGAAAATCTTTCACTAGTGCAGGATCTCTTATAGTAAAAGAAAGATGATTTATAGCAGTCTACAAAAAAAAAATAATTACAATTAATATTCTTTTAACTTGTTCATATTTACAAACCTCTAATTTTTGTGAATATTCTTTAATTTTTTCACATAACCACAATCTCAATGCTGAAAATTGTTCCTTTTTCTTTTCAGATAATTCTAATCCATTTAATTTTCCTTCTAATATATATTTTGTTAAAACTTTTTTTTGTTCATCACTTAATTTGCTATGATTGTTATTCAAAACATTTTTACATGCTTGGTATATTGGTGTACTAATATATTTAGAAGCACAAGCTCTTCTAGCACGTCCATCAATATTTATATAATATTGTGTAGGCATTAAACTCTGATTTCCTAAATATAATGTTTTTGAAATGCCCCATGTAATATTCAAAGAAGTATATATTTCCTCTAGAGGATTTAATATATTTTTAAATAGATTTTCTGAAGAAATATCATTAACATCTAAAAATCAATTTTGTAAAATATATAACTTAAATTAAAAATAAGAATGTACATAAAATAAGCAAAATTACTTTCTATTTGTTTTTCTAATGTTTTAATTGTTTCTTCAAATTCTAATGCTTGTCTTCCAATAACAGCAATACATTTTTCTATTGTAATATTTGTAAATTCCGGACTTTTATCTTCCTTCAATAGAGGATATTTTCCTGGTAAATCTTCTCCGATTTCTGGAACACTAAATTTAAATTAATTGTTATCAATTAAATTAATTGTTAACAATAAAATCATTTTCAATATGTTTTAAATAGATTAAAAAAATTGTACAAAAAAATTTATATAAAAATAATAAAATTGTGTAATTTTTATTGTGAATAAAGTAGTTATGATGTATGTACGTACAGAATCAAATAACCATTACGTCTCGGAACTTTTAGGAGACTGTTCTGAGATAAAATAATTTTTTTACTATAAAATGAGGTCACTTTTATTTTTTTTAAAAACATCATGTTTTTATTATCTCTTAAATTACATTTTCAACTAAAAATCGCTCTTCTTGGTTATTATATCATTTAATTCTCCCGTTTTTCCATTTAACTAGTAAAATTTAGTCATGAATTACAAGTTCATTCTAGTAGACATTTCTAGTAGTTTCATTCATTTTAACTTAAATTTTTAAAAAATAAATGAAGAATTTTAATTTTAAATATTAATAATAAAATAAGAAAATATAAACTATCAATAATATCTAAAAATAAAAATGAACTTTTTTTATTACATATTTGCTAACTATTAAATTTATTACAATACATTTGGGATGGCGCCACTATAAACATCACATTTAGAGATTCAAGATTGCGTACTATTGTAATATGTTTATATTGGGCTAAATACAATTGGGTGGAAGAAATTGCGTATTTTCTGACGTATACGATAACGAATCATTAATTTGTACAGTGATATTGATATTACGATTTTGGATTGTTTTCACAAAATTTTTCTATTTCATCACAATTATTATTACAAATCGATGTCTTCAACAATGTCAGGAAAGTTACGAGGAAATAATATTAAGTGGGGAAATTCATCAGAAGAAAATAATACATATGAATCAAAATATAAAATGAAATTGAGAGAATCGTTAAGGAATACGCAACAACCAGCTGTAACTGAGAGTGAGACTCTTGCGGAACCACGAAAGCGAGGCCGTGGTCCTTCTAAAAGACCTTGCCTTAATAGAAATGCTTTAATGGCTCGAGAAAATCGACTTAGGAAAAAAGCATATTTAGAGAAGATAGAAAATAAATTATCATTTTATCAGCAAGAGAACAAGAATTTAGTAAATATTATAAAAAAACAAAGTATTGATATCAAACGATTAAGTGGTGAAGTTGCTTATTTAAAGAGTGTATTAAACAATAATACCAGTATTACTACATTGCTAAGAACAATCAATGATGGCCTTCAAAAAATTAATACACAAAAAAAGAATTCATTGAATCCAAATCATATTTCTGAATATTCAAATGAATTAAATACGCAACACAAATGTACATGTTATACAAATGTGAAGGAAAATATATTAAATAATCAAAATACCAATATATTTATTACAAATGTCAATAATGACTCATTGACAGAACATAATACGACTGAAGATTCTAATAATGAATCTTATATTAATTCTCAGAAGAGATTTGTTTGTAAAAATTCAAACATTGATAAAATTTCTTCATCTTTCTTAGATTCAGATCATACTTATATTGTTTCCAAAAATATTGAAATTGAAAATAAGAGCAATCTTCAAAATAAAAATGTAACAGATACAATAACATCAACTACTAATATAACATCTAATATAACATCTGACGATAATTATATGGATAGTACAAAAGATTTGGATAATTTATTACCAATTGGTCAAACAGATTTATCCAGTGTAGATGAAAAGAAAGATATTGATACTATTGGTATTGATTTTGATCAATTATCTTCTTTTAATATGGATATATTTGAAGATCTTCCCAAATGTGATGAAATGATGAATACAGTAGATAATTTAAATGATGCATCTAATCTTTTTACTGCAGAAGAAATATCTCAAACTTTAGATAATACAGGAATCTGTCTTCATGTTAATTCAGACAAAGTATCTTTAGAATTTTGTTCCATTTGTCACTTAAATAGTAAGATTTCGGGATCAAATTGAAGGGGGAATTGATCATAATTATTGTAAGTTCACTCAATGATGAGTCACAGAAGAAGTTTACCAAAGATTTTGGAAATATTTCTCGATCAGTGGAATATAAAAAAATTAATGAAAGTAATATAATATTTCATACTGTTCCAATAATTATTGAATGTAGAAAAAATTATTGTATAAATTATTGTATATATGGTAGTGGATATATTAATATTTTCAGGTGTATCAAGAAGATGTATGTCAACATCATATTGCCTATCTCTTGCTGAATCATCGTAGAAATATTTCTCACATGGAGCGAAAGTTGCGTTATTAGTATTTATATTATTTATGTACATAACATGCGCATATGTGTATATACATGTATATGTAATATGCATATATATGTGTGTATATGTACATATAATTTATGTTCCATATATGCATATAATCAATAATATATATGTATATGCATATATATCTTTTTATTTTATAAATAATAGATTTTTTTATGTAATTTTAAATTATCATTAATAATATGTAATAGTATAAAATACTTTTGTCGAAGGTTACTTCATTGCTTTTTAATAATGGTATTTAATAACATAAAAACTGTTTTTGGAAGAAATATTTATTATGTCTGATTTTAATAGCTATAAAATATGAAGCTCTTGTCTATTATATATAACATTAAATCATAACACTTCTGTTCCTCTGAAAATATAATTATTTATTTTTTACAGGATAGTACTACTTGGCATTGATTTGCTAGCAACAATCATGCAAAAAGGTACACATTATTGTAATTTTATTAACATAATTTAAAATACATTTAAAATTAAAAAACATAGTGTATTATTAAATTATGTTAGTTTCATAATAAATATATATTTCTTTTATCTAGTTAAGCTTTGGCATATCTGATACATTCTGTTTATCATTTGGTATTACATGGTATTTTGGAGCAATTACAATTAGAACTTGTTGGGAAAGTATATGATCACCCCCTTCTCTTAATATAAAGTATATAATTAATGAACAGGTTGAGTACGATTGATACCCGTTTTTTATATGTGGAACAACATTGTATTTTGTAATTTGTTAATGATTATAAGTATTAATTTTGAATTTTTCATATTTTTTAGCTGGATCCCAAGGATTTTCAACCAATATGGAACATTCCATCCACTGATCGAGTTTTATGGTAATTGAAATTGAAATTAAAGAATTAAATAATTAAGTAATATAAAATATTTTTCATAAATTATATAGTATAAGTTAGTAGCTTACAAGATTGGAAATCTTATTTCTTCTGATTCTTCATAATTTTTCATAATGAAAAATTATATTGTATAAATTATAACAAAATTATTCGATATGACAAAATATTTTAATATTAAGTCTCTTAGAATAAGTAAAAAAACATATTTTTTTTGTTTCTGGAGAAAAAGAAGTGTATCAATTCTATTATTGTTACAATATATGTATTCTTGTTTTAATACATACGATATTTTTATATATTTTTATTATAAATTATTTATTGATAACATACAAACATACATTTGAAAATTATATAAATTATAGATGTAAATTACGTATTACTCTGTTGATTTAAGTATTTTGTTATTTCTAATGAAAATTATAAGTTGTTTTGTATAAAAATTTGTTTATAATAAACCTATTGATATCAACTTTTTTTACATGTATTAACAATTAAATTTTGCATTTTTTTCTTTACTTACATTTATACAATTACATTTTAAAATTATTATATCAATGATTTTATTATAAAACATGATAATCTTTATGTATTTTATTAAATTAAAACACGTTCATTGTTATAATTGTAAGATATTTTTTATATTGTAAATTATATATTTACAAATTTTTTTTATTGCAAACTGAGAGAGAAATAAATACTTCAATTTGTTAAAAAATGTTAATAATTCAATTTTTTTTAAATAATTTCGGCATAATTTTTCTCTCCTTAATTAACATAACTTAATAATCATTTTTTTCTTATCTTCATTTATGTAGTAGGAAACTATATAAACTTTGTACAAAGAATTTCTGATCACAACATATATATGTATATATATATATATGTATATATATTAATTTAATAAGAAACAGATAATATAAATGATTATTCAAATTCCAAGGCGACTAAATACATCTGGTTTTTTCACGTGTGCTACTGTTGTAATTCTATCGAAAGTTACTTGTTTAGCACCATTTGTTTTAATCACTCCTAAACGTGCTTTTGCCGGTATCGAAGTTAATCTTTCTGAAGCTGTAAAAAATGTTGCAAAAGAATTAAAAATTTTTTACAATAAAAAAAAAGATATAGAAAGTTAAAAAAAGAATGTTATTAATGTTAAATCCTACCTAATTTCCCAGATGTAATATTGGATTTTATTATTCTATTATCTCTTGAAGATGTATTGAAAGAAATTCTTTTAGTTGTTTTTACTAATTGTGTAACATTATTAGACATAACTTTTCTATTTGCTTCTTGATCAGCTCGCATTGTGCCCATATTTTTTTTTACAACTTTATTTGTTGTAAGAATTGAGGTTCTTGAACTAGGACTTCTAGTTTTTAATATTCCTGTATTATTTGTTCCATTTTTTAATATACCTGTTTGAATCATGGTATTGTCCTTTTTGGCATCTTTATCTCCTAATCGATTAAAAACACTTACAGATCTTTTAAAAACATCTTTCCCTAATCCAGTAATATTAAATGTTGGTAATATTTCAGTTGGGTTTGTTGTACTGGTTACAGAGCTATCACCCAGCCTATCAAATACAGTTCGTTTTTGTTCAGACTTTTTAAGAATTTGTTGACTTCTAGACGTTGATCCTTTTGGAAGTATTATAGTATATCCAACTTTATTATCTTTATTGTCAAGTGATTTTATTTTTTTAGATGGTTCTTGCCATTCATCTTCATTATTACTATCAAATTCATTATCTTCTTTCAATTTTCTTTTAAGAATAGTTGTTTTTTTTGATTAGCTAAATCAGTAATTATTTCACCTGATGTCGATATAGGTTTTTTAGGAATAACAGTTTTTTTAACTGAACTGGTTGGAATTTTAACAATTTTCTTTGTAGTTAATACATCAGATTTAAGTTTAGAATTGATTATTTTAGAAGTAGAACTAGTTGCCTTAGTTGCTACTTTTTTAACTATTGGTTTGGGTGTTCCAACATTATCTTCTGTATCAACTAAGAATCTTTCACATGTTGTTTCTTCAACCACTTTTTTTGCATATCTCAAAATAGCAATCATATCTCCCATTAAAGTAATTCCCATTTCTTTGAGACTAGGTTTGTCTAAGTCAGGTAACATGTCTGGTTTAATGCGATTATTGGAAAACACAACTGCATGTTTTGTAGCTACATCTTGGGGAAATCCTGCTCCTTTAAAAAATTTTACCCAATATGCTATAAAAAAATAGTAACTATAATGATGATTTTTGAACAAAACTGAAAAATTAATTAGGCTATAGAAAATTTTTAATACCTGATAGTGATGATGCCATTTTTACCGGTTAGGTTATTAATATTATTTAATTAACAATAATATTTTATAAATAATTTCCTATGTTAAATATAGATCGTTCGCAAAAAAAAATTAATTATATTATTTTACATATTTTACAAAATTTATTATTCCTTACGCAACTTCACTCAAAATAAAGAATATTTTCATAAACGAATATATGATATCGCTTAGAGTATATAAATGATAAGAAATGTTTAATTATAATTTTTTTGATAAATATATCATAAAATATAGTTAAAAAGCGATAATAAACATCGGTATTCCATTTCTTGAAGCTTCAGAATTATTCACGTTCATTCCCGTATATAAATCTATATGTATACAAAACTAAATGCATGAGTGAATTAAAGTACTCAGATGAAAGTTTATAGAAAAGTTACATGTAGCGACATCGTTGACAAATATGAGTACTAATCATAAATAATTATTTTCACTGATGAAATAAAATTATTTTTACATTTTTAAATTTTTTATAAAATATAAAATATATATATATGTACATAATGTGTATAATTCTATATAAAAAAAAATTATAAATTTATAATAAAATTGTAATTTATTAATTTTATATAATACACAATAAAAATAATTTATATAAATAAAAATTCATTATAATTTATTACTAGAAAATACATATTACTTGTATTTTTTAAATTGGAATAATAAATAATAAAAAAATTTCAAAATAAGTAAGAAATAGAAAATTGTGATCAAGAAGAAGTGGATGTAATTGTTACCGTTCTAGATATAAAATGTTTATGTTTGCTCGTCCGTGAAGTTTCGGAGGAATGGTGTTGCTCTCGTTGTTTTGGGAATTTCACGCGAATTACTGTACTATTTTTATCGTGTGTGGGTGAATCAGGTGTCTTCGTCGTCTTTGATACTATTTTCGATATCTTCGTATTCTCTAAGTCGTTTGCTGGGCGAGATTCGCGTTTAAAAGAAGAACGGAGGTTAGTTTCGGCAGATGTATTGGGGTATGTAGTTTTCTATGAAACTCAGTTTTAAATGGTTTTGAAACAGACTAATAAATATAACAAGATTTCATTATATTGTAAAAATCTTATGAAATTGCCCCATTCATTCATCGTAAAATTTTATTTAAAAAAGATTTGTTATGTTTCAAATTACATACCATTTTTTATTTTAATCAATTGTGCGCGTAATTTGAACGAAAATAATGTTCTAGTAGTAAATGAATGAAATTCTTTTTCATTTGATTTTTATTATATATATATATATATATATTATAAAATATTTATTAATTAAATTACAATTTAATTTTAAACTTACGATAGATAAAGATTTATATAGAATTTAATAACTAAATTTCACATATATTATATTTCATTTTGTAAGAAAGAAAAATATTATTAAATATTATTAAATTAATAAAAATATTATTAATAATAATAATATAAGATATGATAATGAAAGAAAAAGATAATGTACATATATATTCTGGTAAAGACATATGTATTTTGTTAATTAATGGAATTTTCGATTTATTATGTATTTATATATGATATTTTAAATGGATTAGCATATTTTAAATGGATTATAGATATAATTATAAATAATTCATGGTGGTTAAGTACAGAGCCTGTTTCATGAAAACTGGATATTTGGAAGGGTAACGGGGTGTTGGATTAATGGTATAAAATCAGGGAAAGTGAACGAGTAAGTTAATGTATATGAGAAACAAGGAAAAAGAATATACTGAGAGAGAGAGAGAGAGAGAGAGAGAGCGCATGTGGGAGGGGAAGCTCGTGCGCCGGTGAGCAAATCGAGTGTCAGACTCGTGGCAGAGGGGTCAGCGCGAGAGAAAGAACGACACGAACCGAACATTTTCTGGACTTAGCGGGTACGTTTTCATGTTAAAAAACGTACACCACTTTTCCATTCTTAGTTATATCCATTTTTTTCATTTTTTTGTTATTTGAAATTATTTATTTTTTCTATTTTTATCTTCTTTTTCCTTTTTTTCCCCCCTCTTCTATTCCTTTATTTAATTGTGCGCGCGTGCATTTCTTACTGCTTTATGTTTTGTTAAAATTTTATTTTTTTATTAAAAAATATATTAAATCATCATGCTTTTTATTATCATACAAGTGTAAGAAAAGTTCGAACAAAATTATCCGTCTGAGTTATTATCAAAATCATCATATGGAAAACATAGTCAAGTGTTTGTTGATTTTTATATACAGAAATGTCTGTAGCTGTGTCACACAAAAATCATTTACATTTAAAGGAACGTGAAATATCCGCGAAAGGATGAACGACATGGAAGCTTACGGAGACGGATATATGGAGCCAGAAGAAGAATGGGAGAGAGAAGGTCTTTTGGACCCGGCTTGGGAAAAACAGCAGAAAAAGGTAAATTAAGTTTATTCTTTTTCCATTTAATAATATTTTATATATTTTCTTTTATGTTGATAAAAAATTTTGATTCTATTATTATACAGTATAATATAATAATATATATATGTTTTGTTGGGTAAATAAACTGGATTCATGTTATTATTATTAAACTTTTAGGTATTATATGTGACAGGAACTTTTGATAAATATAATTAATAAAAAGGTGTAATAAATTCAAAATGTAAATTTTTACATTTTGAACATTCATCATTTATAGAATATTTGACTATTAAATTTTTGAATTACTGCACATAACCTCATAGAACACAATACAATTTTTCAAATACAACAGTGTGAATATATAAAAAGTTGATCCATTATCTACAATCTTTTCTTAAAAAGTGAAAAAGTATGTTTTGTATTATAATCATTTTTGTTTTATATGAATTATTAATAATATGTTTTCTTCAAAGTTTCTCAATATTATCTAACAAACAATCAATCTTGTGATAAAAATTCAGTAAGTTTTGAGTTTTAGTTTCATTTGTAAGAAAAATATATAATTGCATTATGATTTTTTTCAGCTTTTAGAAATTACATTTTAATTATATCTATATAATCTGAAATATTTTTTTGCTTCTTTGTTAATTTTATTATATATATATATATATATATTATATTTTGAAATGTCTCGTTAGAAGATATTAGAATGCGAAGTATTTTCGATTGACAATGGATTTTCTTACACAATTCACAAATGCAAATTTCGATTCACGATATATGAAGAGATAATCAAGCTATAAGAATTATTCGAACAAGATAGAAGGAAGATAGATTAATACGGTGTGAATTGATAAAATGGAACAGCTTCAAGTACGCGTTGAAAATGTTTTCTTCATTTTTGGCAGAGGCTCAAGGCTCTCAAGTCTGACTCGATTACATATGATGCTAAACCGCAGCCCTTTGGATTGTATTTTCAGACTTTATGATAAAAATAATCGAGCGCTGAATCACTTCAAAGCATGGTAATAATTTCGTGGATATTTCTTGATTTTTAAAGAATCTTATCCGATATCATTGTTTCCGATTGTATGTACAATTATTACAGAAGGATGCTTGACAATTGGTTCTGCAAATTAAACTGGAATAGAATTCGTTATTGTTCTTATGAAATTATGGTCATTAAATTTTATTTTTTTGTCCCTATTTTTTTCAAATTGGACTTTTTACCTGGATATCAATCTTATCTTGTAGTCTATTTCACTCGTGTATGTTAGTACATCGATAATAAGTATTTCTATTGATAATTTATCATGAATGCGGAATGAATAATAATATTCTAATGCTATTCGAATTTAAAAATTTTTTAAACTGATTATTTAATATTATAAAAATTCCCAGTCTGAATATTTTTATTTTGTTTATATATAAATCTATGTCGTAGTTTGTATATTCAATTCAAGAGTTTTATCAATATTTTCATTTACGAATAATAGATATAATTCTTAAAATATTCCACGTATCATTTGCATAACGAACAGATAAATAAATATATATATATATATATATTGGATTATTGATTATTGATTAATTGTAAAATGTATAATTCTTTATAAAATTTCTTTGCACTTTGGATTTTGCTTTCAAAAAAAAAAAAAAAAAAACAATACTTCCCCTTATTTCGTAATCTCTCTATTTTATTTTACTCGCTCAAAATTAACTCAATTCTACGATTATTACTCCCTCTCGTATGGAATTATCGTTTCGTCGTTGAGAATTTTTCATCGCCGGATCAACAATTTTAAAAACAATTTGATTTTTAATATCATCACAGGCTTTGATATTCAGGATTTCATCATCGGATCGTGTCCTATATGATCGAAGGAATTAACGATCGTTACAGCGAAACGCATCTACGTAGAAATGTGTTTGAATCGTCGAAGGTTATGGAATCGCTTATCTAACTGGTTACTTATTACTGTCAACTGGTCACTAGTATCGCAACGCGATACGGTGGGACTCCGCTACGGTTTGTCAGGGATATACCGCATCGATGTATGCAATACTTTCATCAGTTGTTTCCGTTCGCACAACGTCTGACTTTATCGTATAAATAGACGATATATATAGATATTGCAACCGGCCGAAGACATCTATCATAGCCGAGGTCCATATCCTCTTTGATTAACTGCCATTTTCAAACTTAACCGGTGTTTAACCTTTCCCAATATACTGTTGTACGCGCTTTACCATTGCATTAAACTTTTCAACTTTCCTCGTATCTATTTCGATTGCAAATACGATATTTCGTGTTGAGATCTATTTATTTATTTTTTTTTTTTACTTATCGCAAAACGGTAACACGGTTTCGAAAAGGTTATTTCGTATATAATTATTTCGTGTAAAGGTTAAGGAATGTATTCGAATTGAAAAACAAATCGTCGATTAATTACTTCGAGAATATCGAAGAGAGTGACAAGGGTCGATCGATCGATTCCTTCCTTGATGCGAACGAGAAGATCGTTAACCTTTGAGAAGTTTCGGCTGTGCGCCAAATCTTAGATTGGAATCGGGTGACCCATACTATACTATGCACCAGTAAGCCGATTGTTATGCGATGATAAGTTCCGCACGCGCGAAACGCCTCTATATCCTCTGTTTATTACCGATTCGATGATTATGCTTCGTTAAAATGCAATTCGACACCCACGATTCGCTATTTTCAGTCGGTTATTTCGTCGTTCGCAAAGGTCGAACGATAATTACGCGATAATAATCTACGTTTAATGTTAAACCGGTTGGAATAGTTCTTTGAATGAATTTTCAGCATTTCCGTCCGCTCCCTTGATACTGTCCGCAAATAGAACGTCGACCATGATGTTTTCCGTTACGTATGATACTTCCAGACTTATTTTCGGCACTGTGCGCGCTCAGAAAATGAAAATGATCGTAGCGTAATATCTTTTTCCTTGGGATTCCTTTACCTGAACTGCTCACGTCACGTACAATCGCGAAAGTCGTTGAGTTCCCGCGAATTCGATTAGCTCGCGGCTATCGAGCTATCGAACGACAAATTCCGCAGAAGACGCCGCAAGTAGAACGATCATTTTCTATCGAAAACCATCTTTCCATCGTCAAATCATTCAATTTTGTCGTACGTATGTACGTACCTATTTAATCGACTGTTATAGATTACTTGTTGATCCGTTTTTCAAAACACGCTTCTATACACATCAAGATTGATATATATATATATATATATATATATCGATAGAGTGTCGCGATAACTTGCGATATGCCATCAATAAATTACATCGATTCTCGTAAATATCATTTACGATAATTTTATTGTGCGATCCTCACGTGTATCATAAGTAAAACTTGCCAATTGGATTCCTCAATCTCAGTATTTTACCTCACATTTTGGCCTTTGCTTTGATCTATTTCAAGGTGAAGCAAAATTGCGTAAAAAGCTTCATTTAATTGATTTACTCGTCCAATAATTATTCACCGACGATGAATATTTTCATATATTATATCGTTTAAAATATGGTACGAAGAATAGAAAAAGAATTTGTGCACCTTGGTCTCCTCTTTAGCTTACGGAAGTTGGATAAAAATTCAATGTAGAATTTAAGAATAGATATAAATTGCAAGCATGTTCACGCGCGATATTTAGAATTTGGGTTACGTGAATTATGTGCATCGTATTCAAGCCGTTTCATGTTTAACTGCGTTTATTTTTGATATCTGTGCAGGTAGCTGTAAAAATATTGTGTATAGTCATTCAAGTTGTGTGTATATATATATATATATATATATATATATATATATATATATATATT